CTCTCTCTGTCTCAAAAATAAATAAAACGTTAAAAAGAAAAAAAAGAGCCTGTGAATAATAGATGACCTGATCCTCAGAAAGGCAGGCAGCCCAGTGTGGTGGTGAGGACATGGATACAGTTTAATTAACCATAGTTCGGGTCCGGTTCTGCCACTTACATGCTATAGAACTCTCAGCCAATTACATAAGTTTTTGGGTTATCACCCTTATCTGCTCCACAAGAACAGGGACCAGTCGTGTTGTTCACTGTTGTATATCCAGTGCCTGACAAACCTGGCACTGTGGCATTTGGTGCCAAATCAAATAGGGTATTAAGGAAGTATATGGAGAAAGAAAAGACCAGTCCCTGACATTCAGAAGCTGGCCTGTGTACTCACAGGTAACCCACATTGTTCTCCTGTTAGACATAAACAATTTCACAGTGTACCAACCTCTGACAAGGTTACTTTGACACCACACTAAAATGAGACAAAGCAAAGCCACTGCATAATTTTGTATAACCATAGATAAATACAAGGTCACTGTGCCACCCAGGAAAATACCAAATACCCCCTCTATTGGCCAAGATGAGTAACTGCTACTTCTTTACTAATTTCGGCTTGCTTTCTGCCTCTCTTTCTATACATAAGATTTGTTGAGATATCCATTTATAGAATTACCCCTGCTTTCTGACAGCATCCAATCTAGAGAAGACCTGCTTTCTTAGACCTTCTCTGAGGTTACCCAATGAAAGCCCAAATTCTATGATAGGTTTTTTTCTAACACCCTCCTCCTGATACATTCCATGATTCCTCATGGTATGTTTGCATTCACTTCAGTGAAGAATAGACACAATGTATTTAACTACAGTTGTGTTCCTAGTGGTATTTGGCTTAAGGGAAATGGCAATAGGAATGGAAAAAATGGGGAGTTACGTTGTTTCTTCAGAGTTGTTGTGCATAACAAATGGATAAATAATTTACCAACACATATTTAGGGTCTGTTTTGCACCAGGCACTGTGCTAGGTGCAGGGAATCTGGAGAAGAATGAGACCAGATTGCTCTCCAGCAGTTGAATCTGTGGAACGTGCAGAATAGAAAATTTATGATCCAATTTAGTGTTGTTCACACTATTATAGAGCCATACACCTTCTATAAAGATGTTGTAGGACCACACACTAAGGAGGAACGTCTTTTTTAGACTTATAACCTACAGAAGTGTAAGATAATAAATTTGTGTTGTTTTAAGGCATAAAATTTGTGATAATTTATTGCAGCAGCAATAGGAAACTAATATAGTATACTTGAGCTTAATATTTAAGGTGGATTGTCCCAGGCATAAGCCAAGGTAGACTAGTTCCTGTAGGATCTGCCAGTTGGCTTGTATGGCTGCATGCTTGGGAATGTGACAGGGTATGTCTGGATTAGATCCTGAAGGGTCTTCTTTCTACGCAGAGAAATTGGAAATTACCAGAAGGTTATCAGAGACCACTGGAGGATTAAAAGCAGGAGAGCGTGACAAAATCAGATTTGCATTTTAGAAGGATAGGTTGGAGTCTGGGAGTAAGGAGAAGGAATGGGAAAATACTTAAGTATCCTAGGCAAGAAATGAGAGGGTTTCTTTGATCACCTTCTATTAGATGACCTTGCTTAGTCCTTGAAATTGGGGTGAGAAGACAGAAAAAAATGTGCTCTTCAAATATTTGAGATTCTGTCATGAAAACTGGTTAGCCATGGTCTGTGCAGTTCTAAGATCAAGGTATAAAGTCATAAGGAGATATGAAGTGCGCTATCAGGAAGCACATTCTAATAATTAGTGGACTAAAACTATCAGATTTCTTCACAAATAATTGTGTCTTACGTTTCTTTCTTTCATCTATTCAACAGGTCTGCATTTGAGTATTCAGGATGTAGCAGGCATTAGGCATATGATGATGAACAAAGAGACACTGTCCTCGATGTAGTTTAATTTGTGTGTTGTGGTACTGTTTACATACAACTTTTATTTAATCATTTATATAATCATGAAGCACACAAGCTCCCAATTAGGATATCTCAAAAGTGATTTATATACAAGGGCGAGGTTAGCGTGGAGTGAACTCTGGCCAGGGAAAATCGGGAAAGATGATAACCCAATAAATGAGTTGTACAGTCTATGTAAGTACCACCCACTATTGCAGGAGAGAGGCCGAGCCTTCTCTCCCCACTCCTTCCCGCTTGCCCCGCCTCTGGGCCCAGTCCCCACAGCACGGCTCGCCTGTGCCCTCCCCTTCCTCCGCCCCCACCCGCCCCTTTAACTCCTCGTTCTCGGGCCACCGGATTTCGAGCTCTTGTCTCGCGAGACTTTCGTCGTGCTGGTGTTGGCTGTGTGGCAGCCTGGAGGTGTCACCTAGAGGTGACAGGGGCTGTTTTGTCGCAGATTTCCCGCAAAACTGGGTCTGTCCCAGAGGCGCTAAGTAGGTTCTGGGCGGAGACCCGGCTTAGCGGTCGCGCGGGGTCCCTGAGGAGAGAGTGGGGCGGATTCCCCGATTTCCGGCCGGCCTCAGGCCGCGTGCGTGCCGCGTGTGCGCTGCCCGCCGGGAGCCCGCGTGAGGTTCCACCCGCCGTGTGCGGGGTCCGGGTGGGTGGGCCGCGGCGCCGTGACACCGCCGGCGATTTCTGCGGCGCGGGGCTGAGGCCCGGTAGCTGCAGGCTTGAGGGTGAGGGTGGGGGTGGCGGCCCCGGCCGTCTGAGCGCCCTTCTCCTCCCGCGGGAGTTGGCGCTGTGGTGATGCTTGCGGTCAGTAGCCGAGTTTAATGGCTCAGGGAAACTCTGGAATTCTGGAATTTCTTTGGTTCTGATATTAAAGGAAGTGACTTCTTACGAAGTAGCTAGATGGAATTGGTTATTTGCTGCTTTACGAGGCTTGTCTGACTTATTCAGAGAAAGAGAAGGAAAGAGAAGGAAGATTTGTATAGAGGTGAATAGGCAAGTGACTTAAATCCCACGATTCATCCTCTCTCTTGAAATCAAGGGATACAGAAACATGGAGTATATGACGGAATCCGCCGACCGCACCCCTGGACACATGTGAGTCATATTCCTTTTTCCCCTTTCTCCTTACATTTAAAGATGCTAAAGTGAGTCTTTGAAACTCACTACCTGTGAGGGAAGCTTTTCGTTTGTTTGTTTTTTGAGATGGAATTCTTTGTCTTAAGTGGGGAAAGTGGAAAGCTTTATTTCTTGAGAAAATTGAATTCAGTTTTAGTTGGAAAGTTTGTCGTAGTAAAATACTTGCTTTGAGAGTATTAAAATAAAATTAAAATAGTTGCTTTAAGAGTATTAAAATATTCACTATACGTTCTTCTGGATGTCCATGTGATAGCCATTAGCCACATGTGGCTATTTAAATTTAAAGAAACTAAGATGAAAAATTAAATACGAATTTCTTCAGTCATAGTAGGCATGTTTCAGGTCCTCAGGAGCCACATGTGTCTGGTGACTACTATATTTGGATATTATGGATTATAGAACATTTCTTTGGGACAACATCAATGATTCCTAAACATTTTCTGTCCCCAGTACACCTGGAGTTAAGACCCCCGTCCATTTTACCGAATCACTAGACATGAGTCTCTTTCCATCCTTTGAAAAATTTTCTGCTCTGGGTAAATGTTTACATTTTGGTAGTCCTATACTTGCACGTTTAAAAAAAATGCCTTTGGACTATAAAGCTGTCTGATGATTACTATTAAAATAATTTACACTCTCTAGACCTTCTGAACATCACCATAGTTTGAGGATTTTTGAAATTCTAGCCATCCTTGTTTTTTTGGTGCAGTATTCCAAGGTGATGCTTTATAGCATCTTTGAAGATTGCTCTGCAAGTTTTTTTTTTTTTTCTTTTTTTAATGTAGAGATAATATGGCCTAACTTGGAAGGCTTTTGTTTGATAGCCTTTATCAAGGCATCAAATGCATTTATGAAACCTAACATGAAAAATTTATGCTGTATTTATTTATTTAAGCTTGTGCTGCGAGTGTGGTGTCCCAATCAGTCCAAATCCTGCCAATATTTGTGTGGCCTGTTTGCGAAGTAAAGTAGACATCAGCCAAGGCATTCCGAAGCAGGTCTGTGTGTCTTTCTGCAAGCAATGTCAAAGGTATGGTGTAGTACTTATTTTGTCCTACTTGAAGTTGAGATTTGTAGATAGGAGAGCCACTGGCATATGCTGAGATGACAGCGACATACATAGAATAAAGTGCATGTATTTGACGTTCAATTTTTACTTATGTTGGTGTTGCCAAAGATTTTAGGATTTGCAATTTTGTAATGTACTTTTCTGGTTTGCCCTGCTAATCTGGTAAAGTTAGTGGAAAGGTGCTTGGCTGTTTTTTTTAATTTTTTTTCCTTGTAAGAGATTAATAGGTTTGCTGTATACAGTGAACAGATACGAGTTGATGTTCATAAGGGTAAGTGAAAGAGATTACTAAGGACATACTGTTGTTATTATCATGAGGGTTTTTTTTTTTTCGTTTTAGTTACCAGATGTTATGTATGACAAAAACCCTCCTAAGTTTTTTTTTTTTTTTTTTTTTTTTTTTTTTTTTTTTTTTTAAATTTTTTTTTTCAACATTTATTTATTTTTGGGACAGAGAGAGAGACAGAGCATGAACGGGGGAGGGGCAGAGAGAGAGGGAGACACAGAATCGGAAACAGGCTCCAGGCTCTGAGCCATCAGCCCAGAGCCCGACGCGGGGCTCGAACTCACGGACCGCGAGATCGTGACCTGGCTGAAGTCGGACGCTTAACCGACTGCGCCACCCAGGCGCCCCAAAACCCTCCTAAGTTTTAATGTTTTAAGTATTTGAGCAAAGTGTTTTAAAAATTCTATTAAAATTCCCACGTAACTAAACGAGTGTAGTAAGCTATCAAGTAACATAAAAGTGCCCAGTGACACTGCCGATATAAAACTAATTGCCTCTGATTTCCCAAATGGGTTAGGATAGCAGTGGTTCTTCACTGTTTTAGGGATGGGGGAGGTGGCTCATGAATCCCTTTGGGAATTTGAAAACTGTCTTTCCAGAAAAATACTTAAAATTTACATATGTACAAAAACATGAAACTTTTCTGTACTATTTTAGGGAGTTTATAGTTTGCAAGTTTGGCAAGTATGAGGCTTGATCATTTACAGATACTTGCTATTGAAAGCATGGTGGAGTGGAAAAAGCCTGAGACAAAGAATCAGGAGACCTAGTTTGTCTTGGATTTCTCACAAATGAGCTTTTTGAAATTCTGCCAATTAACCTCTTTAAACCTTAATTTTGTCATCAGAATGAAAGGCTTTATTAATTGATATATGAAGCTCTTTGACTCCAGAAGCATGCTTATTACAAATGGACCTGTATAAGGTTTTTGAATGAACCTTTAAAGGTGAAAATCAGAATATGCACTTAAGTATGGCAAAAACAAGCATTCACATAACATATTTAGAAGTATTATGTATTTAACAAATACTTATTGAGTGTTTACTATGTGCTTGGCACTCTCCTAAGTCCTGAGCCGACTGGGCTAAAAATCTTAAAGCATGTGCACAAAGGATTTAAGGTTTAATTTAATTAGGTTTTATGTAAGATTTAATAATGAGTTTTACAATTTAACATTTGGGAATGGACTTGAAATACATGAAAAGTCTGAACTACTGTTGATACATAGTATGAGGTGCTAATTTATCTTTTTTTGTGTGTGAGAAATTAGCAGTTCTAAAGCATCTTAGATGCTTATTACAAACCATTCTGATACCATTTTAAGGTGATTTCTTACCTGTTTTTCAGAGTGTAGCTTCAGAGAACTTTTAGGCATTTTTCAGTCCTCACTGGAATTCTTTGCTGGTGCTTGAAGTATTAAGACCTCTTTAATAGATTGAGATTGGCTTTCTCAAATATACTTAGGATTTCACATTTTAAACTGAAGCTACTGATCTAATTGAAAGTTTTCTGGAACTGTTAAATATACTTGGGTTAAGTGCTTCATGTCAACCTTGGGTATTATTATACCTTACTAATAATCAGTGGATTGTCTGCAGATTCACAGTGAAATTTTTATCTTTCCTGAGAAATGCTGGGTTTCAGTGTATTTTCTTTCTCAGATATTTCCAGCCACCAGGAACTTGGATACAGTGTGCATTAGAATCCAGGGAACTTCTTGCTTTGTGTTTGAAAAAAATCAAAGGCCCTCTGAGTAAGGTAGGTCAGTTAGTTAAAATTGGTTTTTGTAGGCATGTGTTACTGTTTTTATATTTTAATCTCTTATTTTCAGAAAATCCTACCAGTAGGTTTTCCAAAAATAACTTAAATGTTACTGTTGGTAAGCACCCTACTACAAAACTGTGTCCATTTTTAAAGTTATATATATTCTTTTTTTATGGAAATGAACATCTTTTTGCTTTAAAAGACTTAATGTGAAATGTGTTTTTTTCATTCATTATTTATTGCCAGCCTCTTATGTGCAGTAGTTTTTTCTGAAAATATTTATATAAAGGCATTGCTGGGGTCCCTGGGTGACTCAGTCAGTTAAGTGTCTGACTCTCGATTTCTGCTCAGGTCGTGATCTCGTGATTATGAGATTGAGTCTTGCAGCAGGCTCTGCGCTAAGCATGCAGCCTGCTTAAGGTTCTCTGTCTGCTACTTACCTGCTCGTGCATGCACACTCCGTCTCTTTCACCTCTTTCACTCAAATGAAAAATAAAACATTAAAAAAATATACCATTGCTAAACATAATTTAGGAGATTATAGTATTAGAGCTATGGTATTCAGTTTCTTTTTATTTTAATTATTGCTCTAGAAAGAAAATATTTATGCCTGTTATTTAAAGTGAGTGCATCATTGTCTCCAAAAAAACAAACAGGATTTTAGTCCAGTTTACCTCTCTCTCTGCATAACACTTTCAGTCTTCTTTGTGTTAAACTTTGACACCAGGTATATATTTTTAATTGAAATGGATTCGGTTTGAAAGTCTTCAGATTCTATTTTATTTTATTTTTATTTGAGAGAGAGAGAGAGAGAGAGGGAGAGAGGGAGAGAGAGAGAGAGAGAATCTCAAGCAGGCTCTACGCTCAGCACAGAGCCCAATGGGCTTGATCCCATGATTCTGGAATTGTGACCTGAGCTGAAATCCAGTTGGATGCTCATCTGACTGAGCCACTCCGGCACCCCTTCAAATTCTCTTTTAAGCTCTGATAAAATAACATGGAATAGTTCTTTGAAATTTTTTCTTTGTTTTCTTTTTTTTCATCCCTGGAGTTTCTGTTAGTCAAATGTTGTCCCTATTGGCTTAAAAGTTTGTCTTTTTCTCCTTGGGATGTTTTTAATCTTTTTGTCTTTTTTTCTGTTCTTAGTAATTTCCTTTGCTTTATCTTCCAGTCTCTGTATTGATTTTTGTTGTTCCAGCAGTGATATTTTTAAGTTCCAGAATCTTTACCAAAGTCTTAATGTTTTTGATGCATTCTGTTCTTTTAAAAAAATTTTTTTTTTAATTTTTCTTTAAACTTTTTAAAAATTTGCGTATAAGTTGACACACAATGTTACATTAATTTCAGGTGTAAGGCATACTGATTTGACATCTTTATATGTTATGCTGTGCTCACCACAAGTGTAGCTACCATCTGTTACCTTACAACAGTAATACAATATAATCAACTATATTATCTGTATTGTACCTTTTATCCCTACAACTCATTCCGTAACTGGAAGCTGTGTCTTCCACTACCCTTTCTCCATTTTGCTTGCCCCCACAGTCCCCTTCCTTCTGGCAACCATCAGTTTGTTCTCTGTATTTATAGGTCTCATTCTGCTTTTTGTTTGTTCACTTGTTTTTTTAGATTCCACCTATGAATGATATCATATGGTATTTGTCTTTCTCAGTCTGACTTCTTTTTTTTTTCTGACTTATTTCACTTAGCTTAATGTTCTCTAGGTCTATCCATGTTGCTGTAGATGGCAAGATACCATCCTTTTTCTTAATACTTATTTTTATTTATTTTGAGAGAGAGGGAGAGAGAGAATCCCAAGCAGGATCCACGCTGCCAGCACAGAGCCTGATGCGGGGCTTGAACCCACAAACCGTGAGATCATGACCTGAGCCGAAAACAAGAGTCGGATACTTATCCGACTGAACTATCCAGGTGCCCCAAGATATCATCCTTTTTTGGCTGTGTAGTATTCCATTCTCTATATACCACATCTTTTTTATTCATTCATCTACTGAGGGACACTTAGGTTCCTTCTGTATCTTGGCTATGACAAGTCATGCTCTAGTAAACATAGGACTTCATATATCTTTTTCAGTTAGTATTTTTTTTTTCCTTTGGGTAAATAGTAGTGGCATTATTGGATCATACGGTATTTCTGTTTGTTTGTTTGGTTTTTTTTTTAGATTTAAGTTTATTCATTTCGAGAGAGACAGTGGGGGGAGGGGCAGAGAGAGAGAGGATCCCAAGCAGGCTCTATGCTGTCAGTGCAGAGCCCGATGCAGGGTTCAAACCCACGAAACGTGAGATCATGACCTGAGCTGAAACCAAGAGTTGGTGGCTCAACCAACTGAGCCACCCAGGTTCCCCTGGTATTTCTATTTTTAATTTTTTGAGGAACTTCCATACTGTTTCCCACAGTGGCTGTACCAATTTACATTCCTACCAACAGCAATGCATTTTGTTGAATTTTTCTGAAGGTTTGATAATTTTTTTCAAAAATTTCCTTCTGTTCTCCTAATTTGGCTCTGGAGTCAGTTTTTTGTGTAACTTGGTCTCACTTTTGTACTTCTCACTTTCAGGCTTTTGTCAAATGTCTGATGAGCCTTAATAATTCATTAGTTCATTCAGCAGTGTTTATTAAGTGTCAGCTCTGTGCCAGTCTGCTTTTGGTCTTGGGGATATAGCAGAGACAAAATGTCTGTCTTAGGGAACTTTTATTCTATGTTTTTTTTGTTTTTGTTTTTTAAGTAGACCCCATGCTCAGGGTGGGGCTCGAACTCAGCTACCTGATCATGAGATCAAGAATTGGACGTTCTACTGACAAAGCCACCCAGGCGACCCTAGGGGGCATTCATTCTAGTTGGAGGAGAGGGTGTGGAGTAGTCACTGAACAAAATAAGTCGGTATATTATACGGTATATTAAAAGGTCTAAATTCTGTGGGAGGAAAAACCAGGAAGGGGCTAAGAACTACACAGGGAAGAGTTGTAATTTAAACTAGAGCAGTTGGCATTGTATGTCATCTATATTCAAACAAGTGAGGGGCGCCTGGGTGGCGCAGTCGGTTAAGCGTCCGACTTCAGCCAGGTCACGATCTCGCGGTTCGTGAGTTCGAGCCCCGTGTCAGGCTCTGGGCTGATGGCTCGGAGCCTGGAGCCTGTTTCCGATTCTGTGTCTCCCTCTCTCTCTGCCCCTCCCCCGTTCATGCTCTGTCTCTCTCTGTCCCAAAAATAAATAAAAACGTTGAAAAGAAAAAAAAAATTAAAAAAAAAAAAAA